GGTGGATGGATGGATGGATGGATGGTGGATGGTTAGAGATTTGGAGAGTGTGACTCAGTCACTTCACCCACAGAGATATGATATAACATCAAGCTTGGGCTTGTCCCAAACTGTCTGACCTATAGGTGTGTTAGATATCACCTGTGCAGTCTGTACAAGATAATGACGCTGTGATCGGGACGTCTCCAGGGAAATCTTTCAATGTCAGGAATTACAGATAAAGATTTATCCATTTTTAAATTATTGAACTTTATGTATCTGACTGGACAGCACAAGCATGCAGTAGCATTGAAACTACATTTAGTAAGTATATGCATTAGTGTGGATGTTTGCATGCAGGTATCTCTTTAGATGTGTAGTTAATGTGTGTCTCTCTGTGTGTGTCTCCGCTGCAGGACCTGGTGGACATGCTGCAGCAGCGGTTTGTCCTGCTGGCGGAGGACAGCTTCCGGGACGCAGAGCTGCTGCGTCAGGTCGGCCCCGAGCTGCTGTGTCTGCAGAGCTCCGAGGTGAAGCTTCAGGGCCTGGTGGAGGAGCTGCACGCTGAGGCCCAGCACAGGGCTGTGCTGACAGAGAGCCTCCAAGCGGAGCTGCACGCTGAGGCCCAGCACAGGGCTGTGCTGACAGAGAGCCTCCAAGCGGAGCTGAGCAGGTAGGCCCAGCACAGGGCTGTGCTGACAGAGAGCCTCCAAGCGGAGCTGCACGCTGAGGCCCAGCACAGGGCTGTGCTGACAGAGAGCCTCCAGGCGGAGCTGAGCAGGTAGGCCCAACACAGACTTCATCTCCTCTGTGTAAATGAAAAATCACATATAAAGCCTTTAAACCAGAACACAATGAAATGACTGCTCAAGTTAAGACATTTTGAATATTATAACAGTGAACTCCGTCTGTTGTCAGATGTTTTAGGTCATTATTTTACAGTTATATATCTGTGTTTACATTTAAGAGATCAGATTGATGGAGTGTGCCGTGTGTGTTACATCATCATCATTTTATAAAACCAATCATCAGTTTAATGTAGTTTAGTTTTCTTTCTAGTAACATAAACAACCCAAAGCAAATTGAAGCAGCTACATCCTCTCTTCAGTTTAAGTAGTACATGCAGTCTGTATATGAACGGTTTTTATTTCACACAGATTTTGTATTTGTCACCAACAGTAAATCAGTGGAGCTGGAGGAGCTACAAGAAAACAACAAAACTCTGAGAGAAGAGCTGCAGGGTTTACACTCTGCTCATGAGCAGGAGGTAAGAAACTAAAATATCAGAATTCTATTTTTTGGGGTATTTTCTCAAAAACGCTTTTGAACTACAAACCTGGACTTATCAAAGGCAGTGACAACGGATTTTATCTGTGTTCAAAATGTGCTGACAGAGTCAAAGAAAAACCAAACATTAAGTATCATAATGAGAGAAAACCACCAGTCAAACTTATTTAAAAACTCACAAAGTAGATGTACTGCAGGATCTGTAATCACATAAAGTATGGCACGGTTGAATATTTTATGATATACATACTGCAAATGTCATTAAAAGTGAATACAAGACACACTATAGGAGTCATAGAATTAAACTGCCTCTATTTTATGGTGCAGTTTGTGTATTTTGATTTATTATTTTTTTCCCCCAATGCAACCCCCTTCACAAGTTTTTTTTTCTAACTGCAAATTGTTTTCTTAATTACTCAGTTATGGAATTTAAAATGTGGTTGCCTGAAATCTTTATTTATTTATCAAAAAAATATATATTTTGTTTATCAAATATATAACACAGCTCATGCCAAAACAAGAAACTTGCAGAGTCTCTGTCTGTCTGTCATCCAGTGTGCAGAAATGTCATCCCAGCCTTTCTTCCTCTGTCAACAATAATCATCATCTTCATCAACCTTTATTTAAGTTCTCAGAGAGATCATTGAGGGCGACCCTCATTTACAATGATGCCGAGAAAACATAAATGATAAACAACGAGAAATGAGATAAAGCTATAACAGAAAATAAAATCAATAAAAGAGCAATAAGAAGAATAAAATATAAACACTAAAATAATTTAAAAGCTTGAAATGACTACAGTGATAAGTCAGTAATTAAAATCAAATAAAACAGTTACAGTCAGGTATTGGCTGATATTTCTAAAGTGTCCATAAGGGATGAAAGTGCTCAAACTCAGGTCCTGTTGTAAAATATTCCAGGAATAATATACATGAAAAAGTCTAAATGTGCTCTAAATTAAATGTTGACTTACAACACAGTAGACAAACAATTACATCTTTACATTACAAACAAATTAATCAAGCAAAAAGCTGTATGTGTGTTTCTTATGTCTGGGGTCACCAGAGTTTTGTGAAGTTGGAGTGGGGTCTGGAGCCAAAAAAAAGGTAGGGAACCGCTGCTATGAAATGTCACAAAGACGTCATAGAAGACTAAAAAAAAAAAACCCCACAATGTTTCAAGTTATCCTAAACATGCTTAAGCTGGTTGTAATGCCACTTTAGTCCAGCAGATGTCGGGATTGTACATCTTTTTCAACACTGCTTTTGTTGTCTGTAATTAGGCATACCGGTGAGCAGATGATTAATAATTAACGTTTGATGTTTTTTAAATACATGTTCAGTATTTGTCAATGAGAACAACATGACACCGCTGTCACACAGATAAGTTGATGAACACTGTTCTCAGGTCAGCGTGCCCCGTTTAAAAAAAAACCTGCTGTGAGATTTTTTAATAATTAATGACATGAAACATAAAACCCTCAAGGTTCAAATGAATATAATGAGGCCGCATTTAAAGAAACTACAACCACCCCGGAGAAAACAGTAACTTAGGGTTTGCTGGTGTTAATGTGTTGAGTCTGGGCGCAGGAGAGACATGTCAGGATTCTTTTATTTACTCTGGGCCTCAAAGACGTTCTCTCCCTTACTGGCCTGTGTTTCATCCAGTCCATCAGGCTGCAAACAATCCAACTCTACTATTATCATCTCGCCAAAAGGGCCAGCTGCACAAGTCCAACGGTGAAAACTAAATGAGAACATTTATTTGTGGTGGATCTCTCTGTGAATTACTGCGAAACGTTCTGGGAGGCAGGGAGTAAGAGCGACTCTATTTCCAGGGAGTTTAAGTCACTCTCATTACGTCCTGTTGTTTTTAAACACCTTGTGCACAAAAGGGGGGAATGCAGTGATGTGTTGTGTTGTCTCTGAGGTGAGGGAGCTGCAGCAGGAGAATCAGAGGAGTCTGGGGAAACTGCAGGAGACAGCGGAGCAGTGTGAGTGGCTCTGTCAGCAGCAGAGATACTGGATGTGTTGTGTCAAGAGGTGGGTATTTATTCAAACTGCATCTGAATGTATTCACATCGACAAACAGTCTGCACGGCTTTAACAACACACATCAATACAGACTGACTACTATGAACCATGCAGTCAACATTTGAGAAAAGTCAGGCTTGATAATTTCCTCCAGATCCACTTCTTCAGATTTTGGTGTAAATTGTCTTTAGGTCCTGACAGAAATGAATAACTCATGTTCTCTGAAAAAGGAACAAAGAGAATCCATCATCTGTATCAGTTTGTAAGTCTGTAAAAACTTCAACCAATGTCTGCCACGAGGTACCAATCTGATGAACCAATCAGACGCCTCCCTGTCTCCCTGCTCGCTCTCTTGCGTGCTCTAGCTCACACTCAAAGCTCGTCACCGATGACTTTAGGAGTTTATACTGAGAGTTTACTGATCGCTGAATGAGACATGAGACGACGTAGTTTCTACACAATGAGATGAGCTGAGGTCCACTTTTGGAGGGACGACGCTCGTGCATGTAAGTGAGGGGGCGTGGCTTAAAGCCTGGCTCACACTGCAGGATAATCAGGCTCAATTTGAGCTCCGATTCTTCCTTCCCGACAACCTCAGGGTCGCTCCCGACTCGAGGCTGCTCGGACCCGATTCTCTGTTCATTATATCTCGTAGTGTGAGCGGTACAAAGATCAAATCTTAACGTCCCCGATCTGCCCGGCGATCGTCGGGGATTACATTACGTCATGAAAGGGTCCGGTAGAAGTTGTGTGTGACTACAATATAATCATGAGAGACAAGGGAGGACTGTAGTCATGGCGACCAGCGGCAGGACGCAACCCGGCGTTTTCTCTTCTTGTTTTTTTAAACTTTTCTGTACAGATCATCAGTGCAGCACTTTTCTGAAACTTGTCTCCATATATTTACGATTGTATTAACTTTTCTATATCCTACAACAACTTCCACTTCCTTCTCTTTCACCAACCGTCGTCCTTTGTTTTTTTCAAATGAAACTTTATTAACAATTGTCAACGCTCCATCCAGATTTCACTCGTACAGTGTGAGCTCTCCGGCCGTGCCCGACAATCGAGTCGTACAGAGCTGACACGCCCCCCCGACTTTTTTACAATCGGGGGAAAATTGCACAGTGAGAGTCAGGCTTTAGAGGGAGCACAGAGGGGGCGTGGCTTTAGAAGGAGCACAGAGGGGGCGTGGCTTTAGAGGGAGCACAGAGGGGGCGTGGCTTTAGAGGGAGCACAGAGCTGATCTTCATATTGCTGCCTTATTTTTAGTTGAATTAGACTCCTCCTGTCTGTATTTTTTGCTCCTGTTTGAAGAAAAACCTGCAGCTAATTACATAAAACGATGCAGAATCATTATCCACTACAACATTAGTGTGTTCATTTTACTGTCATTTACCGTTTTTTTTTTGATAGCTCAGATGGTCACTATGTTTGAAACAAATTGATTTCTGCAGATTCAAACGCTGCCTGATGGAGGAGAGAGAATCTCTGCTGCGACAGGTCAGCACGCTGGAAAAGAAGCTGATGAAGAGTGAACATGAAGAAGGTCACACACAGAGTGTCCTCTGTCCGCTAAAAGAGACCTCATGCTGTGACAGGTGAGGGAGAACTAACAGAGACAAACACACATGTATCATTATGAACTTAAACTCAGCTGTGAAGTAGCTCACCTTTCTGTCTCTGAAGCAGCATGTCATCGTGGGAGGCAGGTTCAGCGGTCCACCTGGAGTCTCAGGAAGAGAAATCAAACACGCTGTATGAGGAGCTCTTTACACAGGTAACAGTTAAAAAGGTTTCTGATCACATGCTGCATGACTGACAATGCTTGATTGCTCTGTGTATTTCCTATATGTCAAAGTTCAGATTCAAGACGATGCAGGGAGCGCCTCCTATCTGCATTCTTTCTATCAGCCAGCAGGGGGCAGCTTAACTTGTTGCAGAAAGTGTCAGATTGTAGAAAAGGTTGATTTATTTACTTATCCCCCATAAGTTCATTGACTTAATCACTACTCACATGTTATCGTGAATTCACATTGCGCTTGGCTTTGCAGAAGCAGTGCTAGTAGTGCTAAAACTTCCAAAAGACCAAGTAATCTTTGTTAATCTTTGTCATTTAACCACAAAGACATTCACTTTACACTCATTCATGACTAAGAAAACAACAAAAGGCCTCACATTTCACAAATCTGGACTAGAAAACCGTGAACGTTAGCAGGGGAATTTCAAGGCTTGATCCAAAGGCAGCTAGTTGAAGATCTTGAAGTCATCTTTGACCATTAGCATGCTAATGATCCACAGAGGCTAACATTTCTAGCTCCGTCCTCCAGATAATTTAGAACTGCAGAAGCCTTTTGGGAGGAGAGCTGAAACGTCTTCAAGATCTTCAACCGGTCCAGTTGCCTTTGGATCAAGCTTCAGATTTACAATGAGCTGGATGACTGAGAACCTGCACGGGGAAAATAAAAAATATTACTTGACAAACAAAATAGTTGCTATGAACGTCTTTCAATGAAAGCTGTAGGACAATCTTTTTTTTTGCCTTTTCTTTTGGTCCCATCACATGAACCTTTCTTTTAAAAGCAACAACTTAAGGAATAAAAAACATATTTTTGGATGGAGGTCGAGGACAGATCTGATGACTGAAACAGAAGACTTCTAAAACCACAGGGCTAATATTCATCAGGGTGAGGCTGCCAGTCCGTACACTGGTTATTGTACTGCCAGTTCTCTGAAACATTAACGCAGCTGGAGTCTCATCTTTATTTTTTGAAAAAAAAAAAAAAAACTTCTATGCAATCAATGGATTACTGTAGAATCCATTAAATACTGATGCTATCACGGCCCAAAGTGGCTAAAATGTCATTAATTCAGGTCATGAAATGAGCAGCTGAACCTTTCAGCTGATGTTCCTTCAGAATTAAAGAAAGCTTCTGTATCTGTAGAGAAATCTGTGAATCCAGAACTAGTTTAGATCTTGAAGGTGAATGTCAGACGTCCAAAATAAACGGCTGATATCCGTCTGGGCAAAGCTGCCAGTCTGCGGTGCGGAGCTTACTGTCGACTTTAAAATACACTCTCATCAGTGTTTTTATTTAGTCCATCTGTTGTCCGTTTATGTCTGTACCTATGTCTTTGGAAGACTTATTACACATGGCGAATAAACAGCCACTAGAGGGCGCTATTTAGTTTAGTTTAGTTTATTTGCACATTTTTTAAAAGAAGAGTCAAACAGAAAAATAATGAGGCCTTGTCTCAAAACCTCACCTTAAGAGATTAAACAAAGTTAAAATAAAATACAGTAAAAAATAACAAAGTAAGAATATTATCACAAATAAAATGTACCCAAATTGAAAATTACAAACAAACATTAAAAACATAAAAATAGATCAAAATAGGACATGCAGTATGCAGACAATATGTTTTTTTTAAAGTTTTTCGCAATCATTAAATATTTACACCGTACGCTACATAGTCAAATTAATTGCTTTAAAGTAGGAAATTATGTAACTCTGACATCTAGTGTTCAAAATGGGGACTGCAGTCTAAATTCTAAACATCATAGAGAGCTGTCCCCCCCCCCCCTCACTCAGGTCACCATGTGGTGGACTCTGAAGCTTCAGTGTTTATCCAGCTCTGCATGGGTCTGTAAACCTTTCTGTGTTCTAACCTCTCTCCATTTTTCAAAAGCATCTCCAATATTGATCCTAGTTTGAGCACGTTTCTGCTCGTGGAGCTTATTAGAAACATGCAGAGGCTTTTTAGGTCGGGTACAATCACTTCTATCTGAACCACTTCTCTTGACCGCTTCCATCGCTGCAACACCTGTTGACCTGATAACTGCTCTCATATCTGACAAACCGAGGGGCGTCCAAAACGGCAACGATTACATCAATTGTTAATCTCATGTGATTTCATCATGTGTTTAATATGAAGCTCATTGTTTTTTCACACCTTTGATTGCCATGATACATCAGAGGCTGTGATGTCATCGTCAGGTGTTAAAAGTGTTGTTAACCAGACAAGCCAAATTAAATCACCAGTGAACCCAGTTTATGGTTTCAAGTTGGGAAACACAATCAAGTATAGAAAAGCCTTTCCTCTGAGCTGTTTATTAAAAATATTTGGCTTTGGCCACAAATGTATGTCATGGATTAAGCTCTGTGTCAGACTGTGCCGTCCTCATTCATACACGGCCTGCTCTGATCTCCACCTCAGCGGAGAGGAAGTGTGAACAGGAATACAAAGGAGAAATCCTTCCTGCATATCATCCCATATGCTCTTTTTGAAACATCTCCAGATAACACTGTTATTAATCGGAGCTCTACAAATAATGATTGACATCTTTTTCAACGTTTACCCGTTTTTATTCCAAAACATTTTTCCCACTCACTCGATCGTTCCATTTCTGATTTTTTATGAAACAAAAATGTTCCCAAAACTTCAAAAAACCAGGCTGAGGAGTCCTCATGTGGTTCTTCTTCACTAAGGTCACTCTTGTGTCTGACATCACCATCAGTGATTCACTCCAACAATGTTATAGTTAAAAACTGCCTCAAGATCTGGTCTCAACTCAGACGCCACTTTGGATTTTTAAGCAGCACCTCTCCTAACTCCAATAAACTCCAACCCTTTGCTTTTGTAACCTGCAGATCATGGGATTGTCTCTGTAAAGCATCTTTACATCATTTGAACTTCACCATCTTTGAATCAGTCAGTGACCCACTTCTTTAGATATTTACAAGCTCCAAACTTTGTCTGCAACAATTTCCCTAGTTTCCCTGCTCTCCCTCCTCCCACCATGACTGACACAGTTTTTAACATGAATCCTCTCCTCAAAGGTATCATCTCTAGAACAATACCCTCTTTGCAGGCCAGGAGTCGGCCTCAGTAGTACTGAAACGTGTTCACACATCCTTTGTGCCAGACACTGGGTCTTAAAATGCAAAGTAGTTCATAGAGGTCAAAAAGCAGATTAGCTGGTCTCTATCCTGGCACTGACCCTACTGTAGGTGTAATACATGTCAGAGCCAGATAAGCTTGCCCACATGTCTTGGACCTGTGCTGTATAATTTCCATATTGGAAGTCTGTTTTCGACTCACTCTCTACCATCACCTCCGCTAACATCCAGCACTCACCCATGTTTGGCCTGTTTGGTGTTCTGCTAACTGACCGTGCACTGACCTCTCATTGTTCTGACCTTGTACATTTCTTACTTTACCAGCAAGGCGTGCTGTTTTGATGCAGTGGAAGTGTCAAGTTTGGGAGTGTAAATCAAGGGAGGAGGACCCAAGTTCAGAACTACAAATATTTATTATTCAAGAGACTTCTTCATTCTAAACAACAAGGAGCCGGGCGGTGCGTTACAGCTGAATTGTGCCTGATTTTGGGTTGCTGTAGCACCCTCAGCACCTGTACTTCCCTCGTCCCTGAGCTCATGTGTAGGTAGGCTGGAACATTAGGAAAGAGAAAAGGAAATGCCCCCTTTGAATTTTGAACAGCTGCTTCAGTGGGTTTATCCTGCTCTCCACCGGGTTTAAAAGGCATGCAGCTTTTTCCCATGCAGACATTTACTACTCTTTATGGATTTGGGGAGAAGGTAATAAGATAGGTCAAAGTGTTTTTTAGTCTTTTTTTAATGTGTCTTTGGCACTTCAGCAATCAGGTCTGAGCTTACGGCCCTGCGTGTGATGATGTCACAGAACAGCATCTCAGCAGATTTCTTTCATGATGAATGTGAGTTGAATCCTAGTGAACTGTCATGTTTGATGGAAACCTGTCTGATGAAGGGCGAGGGCCCGAAGCGTTACATCAGGAGATTTTTCCATTCAATTTCATTGGAGCAGCTTCTGGTGTGCGGACTCAGAACTTTTCTATCTTTGGATGTTTTTTCAGCACCCAGTACTTCAATGTTTGGATGTGCATGCTGTGTTGATGTTTCTGACAGAAACCTCACTGATGAGTACATTTTCTACGGTCTTGTTTCATCATATATGATCAAAAGGAAGGAGTGTAATGTATTATCTTGTTTAAGCAAATGAAAGTGAACCAGTACTGGCCTTCAGTAAAGAAGTGAAACTTTCTGCTGGCACATACCATATAAACTTATCAGCCCAGCTGCGCTCTGTAGCTGTATATTTTATTTCTAGGGAAATTAGTCAGTTGGTAAAGTAAACAGTTGCTGAAAGGACACGGCCGTCTTTTCCTATAAAACGGGGCTTGAAGTGTCAGAAAGTCAGTCAGTCAGCCTGCTCACTTTGTGTGTACTGCTCTGACCCTCCTCCGATGCTTACACCTTTGCTCCTCTGCAAAACCACACTCTTCACCGTTTCAGACGCCACGACCAGACGAAGACAACAACCGCCGCCGCTCTACTTCAAACTCCAAAGGTTTGTTTTTTCTCTCCTCTCACTGTAACATGTTCAGCTCTTTAATACTTTAGACTTTCACAGATTAGTCTGAATGACATAAAGAATGAATTCATGTTTCACAATATTAATATGAAGTCCTAAATGATATCATTTGCACAGCATTTAAATGAAGTGTTTATCTGACTAAATAGAGATTTAATAGTTTTCAGCTTCTGTCAATTCTTGAGCGATCCACTGAGCTGTAATATTTAACAAGACTGTAATCAAGATGCTCTCTGTTGATCTCAGACTGAGAATAACAGTTTGTAACAGAACGTAGACACATACCTCCTCTGACAGAAAATGTCTAATCATCACTCTTTCCACATTTTCTTCACTTTAGGAAATCATGAGGATCCAGTTTGCTTTGTTGCTGCTGCTTTCTGTGCTCTGCATCGCGCTGCTGAGGATCTGCGTCACACAATGTTTAGAAAGCACCACGTTATTGGCAGGATGGTAGTGGGCGATTGTACTGCTAATATGAATGACCCACAAAAAGAGATCAATATCAATTATTGCAAAAGGTTAAATACATTCATCGTCGGTGCAGGACAACGTATCAGAACAATGTGTGGGTCAAAGATAGGCGAGGTCACAAGCCCGGACACCTTCAATACTATTGACTGCAAACTGCAACAGGGGTCCGTATATCCTAATTGTGTGTACCTCAGGGTAGCGCTGTCACCAGGAGGATCACAGTTACATGTGTTAATGGATATCCTGTGCACTATGTGGGTCAATGAAACTGATGAAGTCAAAGCTGTGTCGTTTTCTTGATCTTAAACAGTCGCGCACATTGACAGCGTGACGCAGCAATATTAATAAAGTTCACAGCATCGTTGATTTTGTGTTCTTCATTTTATTTCAGACATATCAAATAAAATCAAACATATCAAAAATACAAACAAAACAAAATAAATTAAACAAAAAACAATGTTCAAATTATTTCACAAAAAAAGAAAAAGCAAATTACATATATTCAATTGTTATGCCTGAAAAGGGGTAGGAAGAAGTATAAAACTTCTTAATCCTACCCCTTTTCCACAGCTCAATAATTAATATTTATTAAATTAAATTAACTTCCTGTGTTCCTTATATTCTCTCTCTATATACAATCTATCTATATACAATTTGCTACACTATATTTATGATACTATATTTGATATTTACAATCCAATGATTTTCCATACATATACACAACTTGATATGCTATTATTTTTTATAATTTATATATTTATACAATCCATATATCTATATATACATATCTATTTGTACAATTTGATGTACTATATATACATTTTATATATTTATACAACCCTTATATCTATACAGTTTGGTACAGTATGTTTGCAATTATACATTTGATACAATCTATATCTATATATATACAATTTGATATAGGCTACTATATGTACAATTTACATATATAGAATATACATTAACATACACCTGTGTATACAAAACTTGTAAACCCAATTATTATTATTGTTATTGTTATTTATTTGTTTTATTATTATTATTATTATTTTTTTTTTTTTCCTTCTTAAAGCTCTCCTTCGTCCCTGTACCTTTTGAAAATCATTGCTTTGTAAATGTTTTTAAACTGGATCATGTTTGGACAATGCTTTAGCTCCGTGCTCATACCATTCCACAGTTTCACACCACCAATTGAAATGCATTGACTTTTTAAAATGTAACTTTTCCCTCAAATTATAACCCCCCTCTCTGTCAAAAAAACATTTTTGAATATTACCTGGTAGCAGTTTGTTTCTTGATTTGAACATGATTTGTGCCACTTGATAGTCAACCAGGTCAATGAACTTTATAGTACGGGAATGTAAAAACAGGAGGTTGGTGTGATCATAATATTCTGCTTTATTGATTGTTCTTATGGCTCGTTTTTCAAGTGTGACTAGTGGTAGCAGTGAGCTTTTGTAAGTGGTCCAACAGACCTCCACACAGTCATTTAAATAAGGTAAGATCATTGAACAGTAGAGAATATGCAATGATTTGTGATCCAACATATGCTTTGCTTTACACAGGACTGAGATGCTACGTGGGTGTAAAACAAAGCATCATTGTTTAAAGTTTTTATGGATCATTTGTGTGATGGAGGCGTGGTTGTAGAAATTCTCCGGGCTTAGTTTGGGCGGTGGTGGTGGAGGGGGCCCAATGTGAGGTCTTCTCATGGGGCGCTCCCGGCCCGTGACAGTACATGGGGAGTTCATAGGTCAGACGTCTAGCCTGCAGGAGAAACCGTTGTGGGCTTTAAAAGTGATGCGAGGTTAGGCGAGGTGTAGAGCTGCTGCTGCTGATGTCAGGACGTGACTCCTTTACATTTACGTTTTTAAATGTAAGCAATTATTAAACACACGGAGCCGAGGTCACCTATAAGAGGGGTTAAAGGGGAACGCTTTGTGGGGTCCTGTCACATGGGGAGGGTACACGGACGTTAGCAAAAAACAAGGTCCGCCCTAATTTAAAGCAACAGAAACACACATTTTATTTATTGTTGCTTCAGTGAAATGTATTCCCCCTCTTCTTAGACGATTTGACCTTTTGTGTTGTTGTGATGTTTACTCAGTGAACTGAACTTAGTTAAGTCACATTTGGTAGAGCTGCACAAAGTTACCCAGAACTTCCACCACATGCGTGTGTGTTGTGTGTCCGCTCCGTTAAGGCTCCGTGCACCCTCGTCCATCAACACCCACAGGCTGCGTCCTCAGAGCGCAGCACGGCGCGGCACCGCCGGACAGCTGGAGTCACCAGACAAAGAATTCCTGCAGTAATTTCACCCGCTACAGCGCGAGATAAAACGATGTATGTGGTATAAAACCATTTAAAACACAACAACAAACACACATCTGATTGTTGAATCGTCTAAACAGAGTGTTTCATTCTGTTTTCTTGTAAATTGAAGCTCCGTGCTCTGACATCCTGCAGAAACAAAAGCCTTGTGTATCTGCTGCAGAGGACTCTGGACGCAGAGAGCTGAGACGCAGCGCAGCGGAGCCAGTGGAAGCACACACATTGAATGAAATAAAAACAGAGACGGACCGGACACACATCTGGTGGAATTTAGGCTTTAGGAGGCCAGAAAAGAAAGAAGAAAAGGAGGGAGCTGGCTCAGACATTTGACCCCAACAAGAAGTTGTTAAGAAACTTTATTTCTGTCGGCTCCAAAAGCTGAAGGGCGCTAATGTTAGCCAGGAGGCTAACGCTAGAAGTTCTGATTGAATGTGCCGCCAACCGCCACGACCAGACCGAGTACAACAACCGCCGCCGCTCTACTTCAAACTCCAAAGGTTTGTCTGTTCTCTCCTCTCACTGTAACGTCCATTTAACAAGACTGTATTCATGAATACAAAGATGCTCTCTGTTGATCTCAGACTGAGAATAACAGTTTGTAACAGAACGTAGACACATACCTCCTCTGACAGAAAATGTCTAATCATCACTCTTTCCACATTTTCTTCACTTTAGGAAATCATGAGGATCCAGTTTGCTTTGTTGCTGCTGCTTTCTGCTACTGTGCTCTGCATCCCCATGACTTTGCAAGAGAAGTACAAAAAGTTTATCAAACAGCACGTCAAAAGCAAGATGAATGCCGGCAGATGTGACACTGTAATAAAAAGAAGAAAAATCAAAACCATGGACAATTTGTGTAAAGAGACCAATACCTTCATCCGCTCTAACAACAGCCAAATCAATGCCGTCTGTGAGAATGCAGGAGAGCCGTATGGTGACATGACCATAAGCACGACCCCCTTCTCAATTATTGTCTGAGAACTGAAATACAAGCGAGCCAGGCGTCCTCGCTGCCAGTACCGGGGTCGACGTGACAACAGACGTATTGTAATCCGATGTGAAGAAGGCTATCCTGTGCACTATC